ATAAGAGCAGTCACGCATACAACACCCAATCCGCAGAATGAGAAGACTAAACGAGGTGCAAAGATTTGCCAAACCATCAAGTGGCGACGCAAGACGAACGCACAGAGCAGGTGACCCGTAAACTTTACAAAAAAAAGAAACAAAAAAATAAGATGCATAAATACTATTCTGAGTTAGAGTTCAACTGGTTAATTATGATAAGAAAATTGTGATAGAAGAAGCACAACAATGTGTTCAAGTTAAAACACAAACGAATTCATGCTCCAAAAGTTGGCAAAATAACTTACCAATGTGAAATGAGCAATTAGATATCGACGGAAAAGTCTATTGAATGACGCTCGAAGTGCGTTGGAACAAGTCTCGGAGTGAATGGGCATGAGCAAAGTTTCCGAGAGAGTTACAGAACCCTTAGTTGCCATATGTAGCGGAAGTAGAACAAGAAGTGGTAGCGCAGCAGTAACGATAATCTGCGAAGCGAATGTATGGGAGAGAATCAAGATTGCAGGGAGAACAGTGGCAGAACTCACATCCTCTCCTGCTATAATAGAGAAAGCCGCTTCCCATGGAATAGCAGAAAAGGTCGGCTGATGACCCAGCCAATAGAATCCCAATTCGCTGAGAAGACAAGCGTAAATTACTGGTGCCCATTTTGTCGACTGGTCTAGAAGCAACGTCACTTTAACTAAAACAAACGAGCTAATTATTAGCAATCAGTAGCACGAATTTACACAAATAGAAAAGTCCACGAGGACTCACGCAGTAAATGTTGATCCTTAGCCACCTTCTTCTGCGATGATAACTTGCGAGGTCGTTGAAAGAGATATAAAGGAGGCACAATAAGACAGAATAGAAGACCAATGCACGGCCACACATATAAATCTCCAAGTAGAGCAATGAGAGGAAGAAGTGGTGCTATAACCAGCGTAGTGAGAATCCAGGAGGTATAGGACGTAGCTATACCGGATAGGTAGACATCATTGTCTTTTCCATTTTCACTACTTGTAATTCCTGCGGTCACAAGAAGCGGTCGATAAATGAGAACGGCAAACAGCACACCGCTAATTGCGAACACTGTTCTAGCGATATAGATTCTAATGTTAGCACTAAAGGGAGAAGAGAAATGTGAAAGGATTAGGAGCTGTTTTTGAAAAGAGGTAGTTCCAAAAGAAAACGTACAGATACTGAGGATGTAGGAATTTGAAATGCCGCAGCGATTCGGAGCCACCATGAGAAGCAGCCAATAAAATATCCAAGAGCCACATCAATGGTAACAAGACTGCTCCAATTGAGGCAGTGACATTAAGAAGGAAGCCGATCACTCCTTCTCCAAGGAGGTTATTTCCCCAACTTGTCAGGAGGTAACGATGCCCAAAGAGTACTGCTGCGACTCCTACAGTAGCCATCAATAGACGTGGGCCAGCGACTTGGCTAAGACTATCGCCAGACAGAGCTGATAGACGGGTGAGTAAAAATGAGGCTAGACTATTGTTTCTTGAGTTTGCAGAGTCATTAGTAGTATCACTAACAGCAACGCAAGACGATGTACCAGGCGATTCCTCGCGACAAACTTCAAGATATCGACCCATCCAGAGTAAACATAAGCAGAGAATGAGAGGAATAAAGGTGTTCCAGCGACGTAATTTTATGGCTCCAATCTGAAAGGCAAAACAAAAAAAACTCATTTTAAAATATGCAAAAGCGAAGCAAAAACTTATTAGTGGAAAAACTAATCGCGGTTAGACTCGAGAAAACTGGTAGTAATAATTTCATAATCAAGCTGTACCCTAGATCAGTGATGTACATTTTGAAAAGCAAGATTCAAACTCCGACCGAAGAGTTTGACCTCCATTTTTTCCGAACAACACCTAAAGTCTAGTTGTGTCCAATTTTCCAGACGGCACTACTAACTGCAAACAAAAAACAATATTACATCGTTCATAGTCCGGCTTTAACAATGCTGAACCATGGCGCCTTTGAAGAACTCGTTAAAGTTCGCAGTGCTTCCGTAAACAAACAAAAATGCAAAGCGAATTAAACGGAAGTCGGTTAATGACTCGAGTTCGAGACCAAGCAGTTAGTGCGTCACGTCGTAATGAAGGTGACAAACAAAACAAAATACCACTCTTGGTAGACAGCAATATGGCATTAGTACCATCCTTGGGAAATCATAAACCAAACAAATAAAGCAAATATGCATCCTTCTTTTAAAAAAAGGAATCCAAAGGTTTGTTGAATTGAGTTCTTTTATTCGAGCATTTCCGTGTCAATCAAAAGTAGAATTCATTGGACTTGTATCTCCCGCACTGATTTACTGCAAACCGATCAACCAATTGTCACTCAAGCTTCATGCATTACACTTGTATTGCCCTAAAAGGACAGGACAACTTGGAAATAGAGACATCTGTTCCTTCCCTACTTAAACCTACTGAGTCTAAGTGGCTTGAGCACCTAGAGGTACTAAAACAATTGCCCATCAATGGTAAGCATAACGATATATTAGGGTAAAGGTGGCAAGGAATCTGGAGGCATTTACCATAATTGAACTGCAAAATTTTTAGAATGCGCACTTACACAAATGTAATTATGTGTAGATAAGATGAGCTGCGAATAAAGTGAGCACATGGCATCACTTCCACTTCTTATTTCAACAGTCTTTCTGGCCTCCAAAACCGACTTTTTCGTTTACCATTCAAACCTCCCAGAATCCAGTTTTGGTTGAACGGGACAGTTAAAAGACAAAGATTTACCTCGCGCCTTGTATTGCTAGAAGTGAGCTAGACCTTTTACTCCTCGTGTCTGCAGACTGTATTTTGGTGAGGCGACTGTTGGATTGATTTTTTAGTTTACTTTGTGCGGCTCAAGTTAAACTGGGGATAAAGGTCACCTTTGACCACAACAATTGTGTCTAAGCTTTTACCTTCGGGAAAGAAAACGCATTTTGGAAAATCCAAGTACAGCCCAGTGACAATTTTCATTAATTATAGTAATATGAAGCCTTTTCCTGGCGCGAATTAATATCGCCTAATCGTGTCCTTGTGGTTGCGATTTCAGGACAGCTTGTAATGTCACCCCTAATTTCGATGATTTGCTGCATAACCATGATCGATTTGCCTGACTCGTTTTGATAATAATGTCCAAATGATAATCTTGCACCTTAATTAGAATAACTGATTTCCTCCTATCCGTCCACATTCTATTCGTGATGTCAATATTTTCATTTTTCCACATCGTTTGCAATGAAGGTCAGTTGAAGAGCAGTAGCCCCCTTCACACAGTCTATCAGGTCGCATGAACTAGAATAAGGCAAATGTAAGTTGGAATTCCAACTAGAAGCCTTTAAGTCATTCGATCAGTTTTATTCGATTTGTTTTACATGAAGTTAATTCCGATCTAGTGATTGGAAAAATCGCCAAAACTTGCTACAGGAGGTCGAACCATAACTCAGAAAAGCAATAATATACACATGTTATGATACGAAACAAAGTGATGACGCCAATGAAGCCAAAACCATATTTTCAAAGCATCACAGCTTCGTGCCTCGTGCATTTGATCATTGATTTTCAACGCTCTTGCCTGGAAATCCAATCTCGCTACTGCTACATTGTGGTTCATTAGACACCAAACAATTTCAATATATAGCCAACTCTATATAAACAATTGAATTTACTTAATAGATGAATGCCTACTTCCTACTAGAATCTAAACAAAGGGGCATATTAGCCATATCGGACACTTGTGGTGACCACATTTCCTTCATACGCTAAGATGTTACAAAAATTTGCTAACCAAGTTAACTCATTCTCTACTTCACTCATTATACGATTTACTACTCCACAGCCCGTGAGCCATGTATCGATTTTCCCATGATTTTCAACACATGGCAATTTTAGACTGCATTATTAGTCAAAAAACCATTCTACTTTAACGCTTGCCCATTTTTCTATTCCCTTCTAATCGAGATATTCTCCTACGTGTAACTGGAAAGGGCTGCAGCATAACATAACACATGGTGGCCTTGTGTCTAAACTACACTTAACAGTTACCCTAATCCGTTAACTGAAATCTACATCGTTGGTTAAGCACGCGATCCATTACTTGGGCTGTATGTTGTTTAAAATTTAACTAGAATAAGCAGTCATTTTTGCGGCTAACTAAACTGCCCTTTCTGATTCCTACCTTGTGACTGAAGAGTATGAAAAAGAAGGTAACTCAAAATAATCCCTTATGTTCCACAAAAGAAAATAAACAAGTAAAAAGTTTGAAAGCAAAGCGTCAACTTACCAAGCACATTCCAGTAAGGATGAGCATAGTCTGCAGTAGATAGGTGAGAACACTAGCTTCCTGTACCACAAAACTGTTTGAAGACGCCGTGAGTGCTACAATGGTAAGTATTACAGCAGCCATCATGCTGTTCCAATTCGCTGTCCAAAGTACCCGTTTAATCCAATTAGCACCGAGTCGATAAAAAGGCAAAATGAGAGGAATAAAAGACAAAGCAGTTAGGTGGAAAAATGCCAAAAGAATAGACACAGCTGTAGCGCCAAGACAAAGCAATCCCGAGTTAATTGAGTCATCCATGTCAAGGCACAGGAAAGTGAGAAGTGAAACAAGAGTAAAGGTAAAGCCAAGAGCTATTCTCCAGACATCCATTCGGGTCCAGTGAATACGGAAAATACTCCTTAGATCTCGCATCAAAGAAATACATTCTTCCAGAGAAGACGAAGAACAAGGAAAACGAGGATTCCGCTTCATTCTTTTCTCCATTTCATCAGGGATTTCGATTATCCCGAACCGGTTGTGATACTCTTTAGCATAGGTGTGCATCTAAAGGGTAAACAGGTTTTGGATATCGTGGGAGCAATCACAATAAAAAAATGGGAGTCAAATTACAAGAAATGCCCATTGGGACATTACAGAATAAAACAATAATTTTTATGAGAATAGTGACTACTCAATGGTTCCAGAATTCGAATAGAGTAAAAGTGCTGAGAACCTAATTTTATTAACTAATTATTATTAAACTCTGTATTGTTTCAAATCTTATGAACTCATTCAAATGACTACTCATAATTTAAATTAGTAAAGGCTAACGTAATGTCAATGCTAAATAATAATGGCTAAACACGTAATGAACCTTCAATGGCCGTTAAAACAATAAATTTCGGAGATTAATATAAATACAACAAACAGGTTCTCGAAGAAAGCCAACGAAAACGCGAGGATACTATATGCAAAGGGAGGAAGCGCGTTTCTGACACCACTATTACTCATATAAACAACAGCAAGCTATGAGCAAATTCGTCAACAAGATTGCTGAGCTATTTAAGGAAAGCGAGCTGATTTGTAAAAGAAGCACACGCCCCTCTCCCTCCTCCCCCCCTCCACCTCAAATGGATTCAATCTTAACTGGAATTCCTGAACACAAGTTTCTTTAGGAATGTTTGTATCAACCTGCTTGAAATTTTCATTCACTGAGCGCGTAATATCCGATTCCAGAAGCTGAGTGAGTACAACACCGAGGCTTGAAAACGGAATGGGGGTGCCAGTAAGAGCAGCAAGAGTAGGTACAAGATTAATCTGTTCAACACTAGGCAGAGGAGCCTCAAAGGATCCCTCAGCAGTGAGTCCTGTTTGAGGGACGCGAGGAAAACCACGAGGAGTGTAGGCAAAAAAGGCAGCATCGACCTCTGCGTCACTTTCACCTCCATGATCGCCAGTTGCTGTCATTCCATGGTCACCAAAAGCGATCAGAATATCGGAGGTGCGGAGTTTGGGGAGAAGACGACTGTAAAGGCCATCAAAAAGAGAATAATGTCAGTTAAATGCCTTGTACTTTAGAGATTAAAGATTAAATTACCATCCAGACGATAGATAATGAAAGGAATCATTGGTCTATTTACTTGCACTCTCTAGAATAAACAAACTGTCATTTCAGAGTTGCTAAATTGCCAGCCCCGGTGCACCCAAAGTGGGAAGAGTTTAAAAATACTTATGTTGGATAAAAGGGGTGTGCGATAGACTTACCTCCACGTGGCGCACCCTGGACAACGTATTCTCATACGGCAAAAAAGTCTATCAACCGGCGGTTGACTTCTCACTTCAAACTACTATCACCCCACTGTATGTCGAATTCGACCACTTCAACTGTACTCACCTCACCTTTTCTCTGCCTTTGTGTCTGTCTCCTTTACATCTGTAAATCACTCTTCTGTTCCCCACCCCTCGAATTCCTGTTACTTTGATGTTCCTTCCCCCTGTGAAGCCCGAAGTCAGC